TGGCATCACAAACGCACTGGCGCTCAATAAACATTTACTAAATGAATGAATTAAAACTCTGTGAGCATCCCTGTAACATAACCATTTACAAATCAATATGTCTATGGAGACATACGTGTTAAGTTTCAGATGATGAAGTTCAAACTACAAGCAATTATCAATGAGAGTCCAGCACAAGTTTATATAAATCATAGGCTCAAATCTGCTCCAAAAACAGCCAAACACCATCTACTCTAAAGCTGTTCTAGTTACACTAGCTAAACAGTATAGCCCTGTGCTTCAAATTCTCATCTGGATCCCCAAGAGATATAATGGTTGGCTCTACAATGAATGAAACTGGCAAGAAAAAAAAAACGGGTAGGTGGGGAGGGAGTGCCTCTCCTTCATAGGAATAAAATGACTTACAGCAGCTTGACTTAAAACCACTTAATGTAAGACTTGTTTATTGTGCAGATCATGACAGTGAGGCTCATACTGGTTTATAACTACCAAATTTTGGCAACCCATATGGACAGTAACCTATAGGTCTCTCACGAACCACTGTGATCAGTTAGGATGAGAAAACAGAGATGAGATGATATGTTAGACTACAAGCAAAAAAGATGCATAAAATGTGGTCATCCATATGCTTCTAAATCAAGCCATGATCTCAGCAAACAGACTGTATCTGTTCAACCACTAAGAATGAGTACAGGGAGGAGTAAGTGCGAGCAAACAACTGTTCAATCAGGAAGGACAGCGACAGTTAGACTCCCATTACAGCTCAGAATGAAGTCACAGCACTGATGTGCCTGCCTCCTGCAGGGAAGGGGCCTGTAATATGCTTGCACATTTTCTGCAAAATCCAGAAGTTTCAGTGTGTTAAAACTACACGGCCGGATACTGTCTCTCTGTATAGAACCTCTTAAGTTTCTCTCTTGCACTTTAACTGGAGCACAGAACCTGATGTTGTGCTGTGGAACAAATGTAGAAATGTCTCTCCTAAGGTGGTTACTAACCTCTCACTGACAAATCCAACTGCCTGTTCTCAATTCTCATGCTTTCCAAAGCTGATTTCCTATAAGCTGCCTATTTAACTCTATCCATTTCTACTTCTCACCATTCCATGCTCACCTTCCTCACTACCCAGCTGGTCTTCCTTCACTGACTCCTGATGGCACACAGTTCCTTGAATTGTCACAAAGATTTTCAAAGTTTAAGTAACAGAACATACTCCTCTATTCTCCCATTCCCATCACTCATCAAATAAAATTCTTAAAATGAACTCAACATTCATCCACTGTGGCCTCTTCTCTAATTCCTTGGAAGTATGTTAGTGTGCCCTGAAGGAACTGTGCTTCACAAACAACAAATGTGAAAATCCTCAGTTCCCAAGTCATCCCAAAACTTCAGGTCCACATTTCCAACACTGCCACCGACTTGGTTTTGCTTTCTCCTGCCTCTACCACGGTTCTCACAGCCACTCAGATTTTAAATCTCTGTACCTTCTCTCTCTCTGACTTGAGGTCTGTCCACTCTGCAGTTTCTCAGAATCAGAACCTTTCCCTCCTCCATTCCCAGGCCCAGGAAATTTCAATTAATCCAAGCTTTTATTATCATTAGTATGCATTAATAAAGTAATTTACCAGAGCTGGTTGCATTTCTTCCAATCCATTCTGCACATCACCATGTAATTCTTACTATAAGCACTGCTCTTATGTGCTAACTATGCAGAGTCCTTCTCCGCTCCATAACGCTGACAGAAATAAGAGCAAAGCTATAACCATTAAAGGTCCCCTATAATCTTCCATGAATCTATTTTTCCAGCCTTACTTTGCAACATAAAGATTTGTTCCAGAGACTCTATTCACCCTCTTCCCCTAAAAAGACACCTCAGGCAACAGAAAACCCAAATGCAACATTGTGTCCAGAGATGAGGAAGGGGTCTGCAAACTGAGGCCTTTAGCCTGTTTTTTAGAAATATTTTGATGGAACACACCACACCCATTCCTTTAGTGCTGCCTGTGGCTACTTTTACACAATGGCAGAGTTGAGTAGTAATAAACAAGACCACCAGGACACCAAATATTTATGAACTTGCCCCTCACAGAAAAAGTATGCAGACACCTGGGTTTACAGGCCTAACAGGTTTACTCATATTGCTGTTTTGAGAACCAACAGTGGGGATGTGGCAAGGGTGGAAGAGGGCAGACTCCTTAGGAGGCTACTGCAATAATTTCCAGGCAACAGATTATAGTCATTCACTCAAGAGTGGAAGCAGTGGAGATGGTGAGAAGTGAATGGATAACAAAGATAAGAGTCAAGAGAATCAGTTGATGAATTGGATGCAGGCTTGACAGAGAGGAATTAAGGATGACATAGTTTCTGGCCTAAGTTAACAAGAAGGATACCGTTGCTACTTTAAGCAAGATGGGGACTACTATAGGTAAACCAGGTTTCTGAAAGAAAATCAGATCCACAACTGAAAAGAATAATTCACAATGATTTCTTTCCTGCACATAAGGCCCCAATGGATAACAAAGATAGAGCCAATACAATCAGTTGATGGACTGGATGCAGGTTTGAGAGAGAAGAATAAAGGATCACATAGTGTCTGGCCTAAGTAACAAGGCTACAGTTGCTACTTTTAAGCAAGATGGGGACTACTATGGGTAGAATAGGTTTTGAAGGAGGATCAGATCCACAACTGAACAGAATAATTCACAGGGGTTTCTCTCTTAAACAAAAGTGTCCAATGGCTCACTATTCTTTCAGAGTAAAAGTCAAAATCCTCACAACATCTATAAGGGCTTGTATGATCAGGTCCTTTTTGGAACTTCATCAGATTCCCTGACTACCATAGACGCCCTCCTCTGCCCCCCCCCACCGCCCTTACTAAAAATTAATAGGTTGAAATCTAATCCCCAATATGATGGAATTTGGCCTTGTGGCCTTTGGAAGGTGATTAGGTAGGTCATTAGAGCAAAGCCCTCATGGATAGAATACTGCTTATATAAGAGAGGCCAGAGCGCTCTCTTCCCTCTTTTACCATGAGGACACAGCCAGAAGCCACTCATAAACCAGAAATCAGGCCGTCACCAGCACCAAATCTGCTGGTGCCTTAATCTTGGACTTACCATCCACCAGAACTGTGAGAAATAAATTTCTGTTATTACAGGCCAACCAAACAGGTGAAGACACTAACATCCACTCTATCCCAGAGAGCAGCCCGAAACAAATGAAGACATCAACATTCACGCTACCCCGGATCCATAGCCTCCCTGCTCTTACCCAAGCTCACTGAGCAAGCTCCTGCGTCATGCCTCCACACCTGTTTCTTCACTGTCTGGGGTGCTTTTCTCCCAAACTATGTACAAAGCTTCCTTTCTAGCCCCCATCCCCACAACCCCACTCAAACATAACGTTCTCTGTGAGGCCTTTCCACCCATTGGTCCCTTCTTCCCCAGCTTGTCCTCCCCTCTTCTCTGCTTAATTTATCTTCAATGTATTTATTACCTTCTCACATAACTTGTCTCCCCCACCCCCTGCCTCCTAAAAAGGAAGCTCCAAGAGAGCAAGGATATTTGTCTTTTCCCCATCAATGCTGGAATCACTGTCTGAAACACAGCACATAAGTATTTGTTGAATAAACTGACGCAAATAATAAAGACAAGTTATCAAAGATTCATGATTTCACTCATGTTCCCAGGTTTTTGAGGGGAAAAAAACCCACCCCATATTGTAAATGCCTTATATGCAGCTCAAACGCCATCATTTTACTACTAGTTCTCCTAATCCAGAGTACCAGTGCGTGACTCCCTTTTCTCCCTCCCCTGATCTCAACAATAAAAATACCTGAGATCAGCTCATGATCATACATGCGTGCACACACAAGCTTTTCTTAGTTGCCCATCAGTCCTACGTTCCTTTCTGGTCTCATCACAATCAGCAATCTCCCCTCCCCAGTATGCTCACATCAACTACCCTGTGCTCCTCAAAGACACTTGTGCTCCTTCTCACTTCAGTAACCTTTGCACCTGTTAATCCTTCGATCTGCAAAGCCCTCCCTCACTTATTCTAGTCTGCTCCTTCTCATCAAGATCTCCACTGCCACTCCCTCAAAAACACCCTGCCTGCCACCCCAGCCAAGAGACAAGACCATCATTTCAACTCCTCCTCCATTTTCTTCTTAAGACCTAAGGCCATCTCAAGTCTTATTTGCATACATATACCTTACTTATGACAACATCTTACCTATTTTGTTCCCCCACCATGTGTCCCTCATGCCTAGAACACGATATAAAATAAGTGATGATTTAATTACATCTAACAGGTTATCAGCGTGGACAGCTCCACTTTACCATTAAAGACATTGATACTAAGAAGTTAAAACGTTGCTGCCATCAAACAGCTAGGAAGTTCTAGCTGGAAATGAATACTTGGGACTATTTTTACAACCTCACAAGACCTGGAGCCAGACACTAGTAACTCCTCTTCTGTCACTACAGAGAACAGTCCAAGCAGCCGCCAGAAACTTCCAGTATCTGCATGCCTTCAACTGATAAAAGACCCTTCCAGCCAACCCAACTGTCGCATGAGATCCTGCCTCCAGGCAAGAAATATTTAAAGGCAGGCCAAGACAAGCAAAAGCCTTACCCTCGGAGGGAAATATTCCTTCAACATTTCGCCTATCACCCATTAATTTAAACGTTAAGCCCTGGGGAGCCGCGAGGCTGGTAAGTGCATAAGGCGGCCTCCGGAACTCGCTTACTCCACCCCACCATCGCATCCCAGTAAATGAATCCTGAGTTTCAATCTCAAGTAAAGCAAAGGAAACCGTTCCCAAAGCAACTGCTACAGAAAGAGGACGGAAAACCGGAGGGCGGGGTGGAAGGGAAGAAAGCTTCCGCCGACAACTGGGACGGCGCGCAGAAACGCAGCCCCCGCGGCCAAACCCCAGCCTCGCGTCCAGTGGGCCCACCGAGCCCCTCCGCGCCCTCGGCTGCAGGAAGGCGCCGCACCTGCTGCAAGGAGGCGCAGCCCTGACACCGCGAGAGATCCGCCGCTGCCCCGGGAGCCGCCGAGTGGGTCTCGCCCGGCATCATGGTGTCGCCGCCGGGCCCGGTGGACCCGCGCAACTCAGGGACCCGCGGCCTTGGCCCTGTACTGCCTCTGCTGACGCCGCCGGGGCCGCCGCCTGCCAGGCCGCTTCCCGCCGTGTCCGGGCGGGTCCATTCGTGCACAGAAGTCCCCGTAGAGTGGACTGAGGGCTCCCCGAGCCAGAGCTGCCTCGGGCAGTAGAGAGAAACGCTACCCGGTGCGGCCCCTGGGCGCGACCCAGCCCAGCCAGGGCCCCGCCCCGCCCTAGCTGGCCCCGCCTCTCTTCTCTCCTTGGGGTGGCCTGAGGTTCCGCCTGAGCAAAATAGGGAGAAGAGCCACGCTGATGCAGAGGGGGCCACGCCCACAAAAGAAAACTCAGGGAGAGAAGAGGCATCGGAGGTACACTCCCTCCACCGTTTACGGGTTAATATTTTATTACCGGCTTGTTGCATGACAGACTTTCCATAGACACCTAAAACCTTCAACGAAGGGGAGGTGACTTGTGATGACGTCATACAAGGCGTCTTCTGCCCTGGAAGGACCCTACCCTCAACTAGTAAGTGCGCGATTTATAACTGGAGGCAGCCGCGCTGTCCAGCTCCGGCCAGTCCGGGTGGAACCCGGACGACTACAGTTCCCGACTCTCCGCGCGGCGGGCAGACCCCGAGCGGGTACCCTGGCCGCACTCGGTGGGCTTTATCGCTTAGTCTCGGTCTTCGCTGTAGGTGACCCTTTCTTATTGCAGGAATGTTTTTCCTCCCCGCAGTTACCCCAGCTTCCTGTGGTCCCCTTGCGGCCCAACCTCTCCACCCACGCAACTACCGCCCCCTGAGGCTTAGCTATGGGCGCTGCCACCCACCGGGTGCCGAAGGCAGCAGCTCCTGGCCTAGTCCTCGGCGACCCGGTCACGGCTCCTGGTCAATAGCCAGCCTTCGTCAAGTCCCATTTTAATACCTCTTGGGAGGAGGTAACCAGGAATCCCTGCCTCCCCCCCCCCCGCCCGCAATTATTGAGTAAATTCAGGTCCCGATTCTTTTGCCTGAACCGCAGTTTTTCGTGTCTCCAATTCCTTATCCACTGCCACCAGAATCTCAATAACCACAGGGTTAGCAGAAACCAGCCTAACTTCCACGTTGTCTAGTTGTAGTCTAAACTCTTAGCATTCATTACAAGCATTGTATGTATTAAGTAGACTTGCTGACCTTACCAGCTTCTTCCTAAGTCTTTAGTATGGAAATAGCAACTGGAAATTCCCCTTCCAAGAAAACAGCCAGGATTTCTTCCCCTGCTTTCACAGTCTGGCTGACAGCTAGAGTTCTTGTCATTGACAGCTAAGATAGCCGAGTACCTGATTGAGGAAGTTTACTGACTGATCCAGACGTACCCATGAGTAGAAAATAAGAGTAGGGTTAAACGGGAAAGGAGGAGTGAACAGATGTACAGCAGCAGGATGCAGATAGACCTTGGAAGACAGACACCAACGAGAATCCTCAATTTGGAATGCAGTGAAGAATGACATTTTATTCAGTGCAAAACAGCTAAATTGTGATACAGCATGGCTGTGAAAACAACCTGCAGGCTCTGAGGCACACTGGAGCCAGGCCTGTCTCCAGCGAGACAGCTCTGCTCTGCTCCTGTCCGGTCTGCTCTGCTCCATGCTGTGTTGATCTGCTACACTGGTTTGCTGGCTTGCTTCCCTCTACTCCAGCATTGCATCTTAGGGAGACATAGGTCTCCCTAAGCTCAGCCAGGCAAAATCACTATTAGTTGGAAGGGAAAGATGCACTCTCAGGGTTATATGGCCAGAAGTCCCTGTTCTTAGCCCCTGATTGGTCTGTTCTCATGCAAATAAGGACTCCAAATTCTTCTGGTTTGATCGGTCCAAAGGCACTGGTATGCAGCCTGGACTGGATGGGGAAAGCCTCAGCCATAATTGGTTGAAATAGGATTCCAGGAACAACTTTATAAGAGCTGGCTCAGATGGCAGAAACACAGCTTAGGCAGGAATTTAATGCAGTCTTCTCCCTAAAGTGCAGGTTGTGTGAGAGGTCTCTGTGTAGAAATAGCTGCTAGACTTCATTTGCTTCGGGGGTTTATTTTATTTTATTTTTGCCTGGTTAGCCACCAGGAGCCCATCTTAGTAGGCATCTTCCTTCTCAGGGTTCGCATGACCCATCAGAGAAAGGGCAGAGGAGATCTGTGTGGCTGCTGATGACTTTATCTTTCTAACTTCTTGTCCCAGGAAGTTTTTATTTAAGGTTTCCTAAATTAGTATTTTTTTCTGGAATACCTTAGTTGAGAGAGGCACCAGCTTACTGTACAGCTTTATCTTCCTCTGCTCTGTCCACCTACACCCACTACACACCTTCCACTGCAGGAACTCACAGCTACTGCTGCCTTCCTGCTTGTGCGCAACCTGTCCTCGTCTTCCCTTTGCTTGGAACACCTTCCTCCCAGCTCTGCATGCGGTGATCCACATATCCTTCAAGACCCACATTTTACCTCCACGTCCTTAAGTAATGCCTGCTGTCTTTTCACACCTTAGCATTGAGTGATTTTTTTTTAATAACACTACGTTTTGACTTTGAGTATAGCAATTTTTTGTGTCTTAGAGGGCAGTTTTCATTGTAAATCTTGCAAAGTGCTGTACATAGTAGGTGCCAAATGAATATCAGAGTGAATCAAATTTGTTGCAATTAAATGGTAAGTAGAAAAGAATAAACACTTGTGTTCAAAAATGGAAGTCTGTTTGTTTCTACTTCTACCTTTCTCAAAATCAGTTCTTAATATGTTTAAAGAAAGAAACAAAAGTCTTGTCTGTGTAATGCAGGGTGGGAAAATTCTATGTAGAGGACCACATAGTAAATACTGTATTGTAGGCTTTGGGGGCCATACAGGTCTTCCTTGCATATTTGTCAGTTTTTTAAAAGAAACTTTTAAAATGTAAATATCATTCCTACCTTTCAATCTGTACAAAAGCGGGTATAATTATAGGAAATAAAGGAAACTGAGTAAGTCACTAGTTGAGAATTGCCAAAAAGTACGTTGTTCCTCTTTCCCACACGATGGGCCACACCTGTTTTGTCATTGTGATGGAAACAAATGTCTAAACTGCAGTAAGTGACAGACAGTGGCTTTGGAACAACACACCTGGCTTTAAGTTCTTAAGCTAGTGACCTATTTGAACTCGTATTTTCTTAGAGAGGATTAGTTATAATTTCAGTGAACACTGACAAGAACAGGGCTGAATCCTTAGACTGTACCATACAGATGGTAGTTGTTAACAATTTATTTATGGCTTTTTTTTTTTAATTTTGGAAAACAGAACTTTGTGCTTTTCTGTCAAAGTGTCCTAAGACCTGGAGGGATGTCTAGATTTTGAACTCTGATGTAGGGGATTCTCTGTGCCTCTAGAATCTCTGAAAGTCTCAGTTCTTGCCCCATAGCCACATCATCACCTTTCAGATACTTGGTAACTTAAACTCTTTAGGCCATAACATAGTTGCAAGGTGACTGAATATTTAATTTCTTAATGCATGCTTCCACTGAAAATGGCTCATAGATTTGGTGTAGAAGCCAAGGAGGTTTTTTTGTTTTATTATAATTCAAAATGGGCAGCTATCTGTTCTTAGCTTTATGAAGAGCTACTCATTTAATGCATTTTCTTCTTTATGAGCAGGAGCAGCAGCTTACTATAAAACCTTACTATAAAACCTCAAGAGGTGTTTTACAAAGTAGTTTGCAACACTAGCAGTGTACAAATTCAGGGATATTATCTGATTATTTAGATTAATTTTCAAACCTGTGAGGTAATGCTACCATGTGCCCACAAGATGTCCGTCTTTCCCTGTATGTAGTTTAGACATAAATTTAATTTCCTGCCCTATTTATGACATAGCAGCCCCCTTCATGTGGCAGTGGAGGGGCTGCCTCTGGGGCATCCGAGGGTGGGAGGCTTTTTGTGGGAACCATCTGCCATACACAGTCCAGTGAAGCCTGGTGCTGAGCTCCTTTGCCCCAGTGTTTTTCACTCCCCTGGGTGATGGTGCCATTTGCTTTTTCCCAGGGCATCAGGAATAAGTCCCTCGGCTTTGCATACAGCCCCTGGTCTCACCCTCAAATGAATGCAAAGTCTGGGGGATGGCAAAAATTGCCTCTTCCTGGAAGATTGAGTGTGTTCAGAAATCAGAAGAATCCTGACTGTTTTGTTTTAAAACAAGCACAGTTGGAATAGAGTGCAAAACTGACAAGATTGTTAAAGATGAAGCACTGTTTTAAAGGCCTGGTCACATGAGAGCTTCTGGTGGCCTCCAGGATTTGAAAAAGGGAGGTGGGGCTCAGAACAGGTGGCAGGTGAAAGGGTTCTGTCAGGAGGAGTGGCTATGCCAAGACATGTCCCTCCTACCCCAGAGAGGAGTGTGGGAGAGGGAAGAGAAATGTGTCCTTTCATCTTAGGCCAGTGAGGGGTCATGGAGGGAATCTTGCAGAGTCCCACGTGTGCCTGGAGGGACTGGAGGGAACCATGGAAGGCCTAAGGGGGTGGGAGATTCCCGGGGCTATGGGGACAGGGCCACTGGGTGTAAGCTGCACTTTGACCAGCATTGGACAAAGATAGGGGTTTTCTGTGCCACAAATGTATAGGCCTCTCAATGGGTGCTGTCCGGGGAGCCAAGGGGACAACCAGAAGGGAGGACAGACACCTAGCAGGCGTTCCTGATGCCCAGCACTGAGGCAGAGTGAACGCCGGCAGCCTGGAGTACAATGTTGCTGCTATACCCGCCGTTGAAAGAACCGCAGCTGGATGCGCACAGCTGGAAAGGGACTGCTTGGACCACCCCTGCATTGCAAACACGTGGCCGACCATGTCAGCTGCTCACCAGCATCTGTCTCGGTTTTTCCTGGGCACCCAATAATTTCTCAGCCTCCCTTGCAACTGACATGAGAGTAAGTTCCACTGGTTGAATGTCAGCATCAAGGAGACTTGTTGGTGACGTCTCTACCCACATCCATCCACTGCTCCCTCCACAGCAGCGACTAGTGTTCCAGGACTGCCAGCTCCTCCTGAGCTGCTGTGAGGAGCCTCCCACTGCAGAAAGCTGCTGCTCCTGC